CCTTAATATAGTAAAAAAATAAAACCCCTAGTGGTGAATAAATACCACCAAAAGAAAGCTCTATCTGTCCCCAAAAAAGGGTATAAAATTCATTTCAGTACAGCGCTGCATGACGGAATAAATGTCAGTCAAAGTACCGCAGCGCTGAATACTGAAAAATGGCCTGGATGGGAAGGGGGTTTAACACCGCGGATGTCAACTGGTTAAAGTTGAACTTCAGACAAACAGCTAAATATGAAATACATATAAGGGAGTGTTTTACATGCCAAAGTATTTTGAATATTGTCCATCCAGTTCTAGGATTTAAACAGCTCTGGCATAAAGCACTGTCTGGCAGGGCAGGAGACTGGAATTTTCTCTGTGCAGTTCTGCAACACGTACGGGTCTCCTCATAACACCCAACCAGTGACTGGATAGTGAAAGGAGAAGCCACAAACCAATGCGCTGATCGTCCTGTCACTTTGCTCTATCTTCATAAGCATACTCCTTGCAATGCCAGACAAACAACTGGCTCCTTGGGCTGCTTCTCCATTCCCCACTCTGAGCTCTGCTGCACAGGTGACTGCGAGTGGCCGATATCAAGTCAAATTCAGGTATTTTCACTGCTCGCATTGTTTATGTAAATCATAAACACAGGGCTGCATTAATAAAAGTATTTTATAGATTCCTGGTGTTCAACATTAAAAACATTGGCCATGGCCAGAAATAAAGCCGTCACGGGAACAATAAATAGCACCAATTCAGAGATGATTTAAGGATTTACAACTGAGTGATGCACAAATAAGATACATTTTTGTCAATATTTAAAAAAGGTACTTGAATGCATTTTTAAGTTTAGAGCCTGAGGTTAGTGTCACTTCAATGGTTTCCCTACAATACTGTGACTATGGCACTATGTAGAAAACACAGAGATTCTGTCAGCTTCCTCCTTGACACATGATTACAAAGGAAGTGATCCCAAGACTGAGCATGTATCCGCTAACAGCCTGATTTTGCTGGGACAAAATATAAATTATTTTCAGTTTACAAAATGATAATAAAAATGATCCTCTCTGACTAGAATGAGATGTACATTTTTACAATGTTCATCAAGTATACCACAACAATTAACTAAATGGGAGTAGCATCTTACCTTTAATGCCTTGTTTGGTTTAAGATTAGTCGTCATAACCTGTAAACAATCACCAGGACAGAACGGTGCAGAAAAAGCAACTGTAAAAGAAAAACAACAGATTCAGATTCACTGAATTCTTGGCATTCCCGAAAACACTGTACAGACATACGGCAGCAACATGCTATGACGAAACAGTCTCAAGTGAATCTCAAAATCAGAGCTAAAAAGGAACTTACCATGAAGGTACCACAAATATAACTGGAATACACACAGTAAACAGACTATGTTTGTCAACCAAAAACTGCAAATAGATATAACGGAGATTCACCTAAACTGGCCACTGAGCAAAATATTACATTCAAACCAGCAGCTGATTAGCATAAATGCCAATAGGAAACCATAGAGATGAAGAAATGAATGTGTCGAGAATCACCTCCTGGCAATATGACAAACCACACCGGAAACTGGTTCATGCATGTTCACAATATGACAATGTCACACACACACACACGGATTATTACAAACCCGGCATTTAAATCATTGATGAAAAGAAAAATGTAGCTGAGACACTACAGATTTTCCAAGGATGGTCCCCATGGAAACCATCAAAAACCAGCCAACTTGGAGACTGTAACCATGGAGACAAAAAGGAGGAGGTTAAAAAAAAAAGAAAAAGAAAAGGGGGTCCAAGTGTGTGAATGACTTGAGGGCAAGTCCAACAAAGGAAGGCAAGAAAAAGAGCAAACAGCCTCATTGATGGCAAAGAGTGGAGTGTATTGGGAAGTCGAGTGCTCATAAGATGAAAGGATGACTCCCGCATGCTTGTGATGTGAGAATTAAGATCAGAGAGGGTCATAAACAGATCATAAGAGAGAGCAAGACTGGAGCAGGGAAGAAAATAAAATCGGTATGTGGTTACTATTTTGCTGACAAAGGTAATGGCCTCTTTGTGTCACCGGCTTTGACAGCTTTGTGTTTTCTTCCCGTAGCTTGAATCTTTTAAATACTAAGGATTAGCCCAATACAGAATTTTAGGTATTTATTTTCTTGGCTGTAGTAGAAATTCACAACAGAAAAGAGAGACTTTAAAAAAAAAAAAGAAAGTCATTACTAAGCACTCACAACGCTCTCAGCTGGCTAGCCGCTGAGCTCTCATAATGAAAGGAAAAGTGCCACAAGCATGATGACAACAAACCATGCTCACTTTAATTAATGGCAGGATTAACATGCCGTGTACTAGCAAAGGAAGATGTCTCATCTGGATAATCTCTTACATTCGCTGCAACCTTACTCTGAGCAGGTTGGAACAAATGACTTATTTTCCTAAATGATATTTTTAGCCACAATAAGTCATCAACTCTTTGGCATCCAGATCTCTTCCTAAAATCAACAGTGATATCATTAATGTGTGGATTGCCTTAAATAATTAAACACAACTCCTCTTTCCAAGGATGGAAATCCTGAAACTGCATCCCATTAGGGGTACTTTAGGATTGGATGCAGTATTCATACTAGACACCCCTATGTTCCGACCTAGGAATTGTATTGACGCCAAACTCAGGAGTTTAAAAGAGAACTATGGGGTCAGTGTTTTCCCCCATAGTTCTCTTTAGGGTCACGGGAGGACAAATACTAGCGTCCTCCCGTGACCCAAAGCTCAGTATATCGCGGGCTATTGCTGACAGTGCTGCAGTCGGGACGGATCCAGACATTACTGTCGAGATCCACCCAGCTGCATGAGTGACAGCTGGCTCTGCTTATCTAGAGGCTGTGCCCGCCCCCTCCCCGTTCCTTACTTCTCTCAACGCTGGAGGATTGGAGAGGGGAAGGGGGGATACCCTGCATGGAGCGGTGACTGACAGTCACCACTCACTGCAGGGAGACGATCGGGAAGTGACCGGATCGGCTACATGTTTCTGCTCACTTCCCGATTGATAGAGCCGACCTGTGACAGCTTCTTTGTCACAGGTCGGCTCTATGTGGATGAGTGGAAATCACTCACCTCATAGTTCTCCTTGAAATCTTAAATGCATTCAAGTAAATTAACCATTAACAAACAAGTATCTTTTTTGCGTCTAAACTCGGCTGTAGATCCTCAAATCATCTCTGAATTGGTGCCAACACTGTCCTTCCTTCTTGAGGGTGGCTACTTTTGTTCCCCATGGCCCCTGTGTGTGTTGTAATGTAGTCACTGCTCTAAGCTCACTCCTGTGATGGACTACAATCTCCTGTTTAGTTTACTAATTTGTATTAAAAAGGATAGTCCATCACGGGAGTGAGCTTGGAGCGGTAACTACTTTACAACACACACAGGGACCATGGGGAACAAAAGTAGCCTCCCTCCAGAGGGAAGGACAGTGTCAGCACCAATTCTGAGATGATTTGAAGATCTGCAGCCGAGTGATACGTAAAGAAGTTACATGCTTGTTAATAGTTAAGGTTCTTGAATGCATTTTTAAGATTTAACTCCTGAGCTTAGTGTCACTTTAAAAACACAGGCACTGCCAGTTTCAGAAAAAGGTGAAAACAGGGATTCAGAATGACCAAAAGAACACTGCCTCCCAACAGCGTGAAATATGTGCATATCTTCATTAGTCCGTGTGATGACTACAGTGAGAAAGTCACATGAAAGACTTGATTTATAAAAAAACGATCAGCAATTTCCAGGAATCTGTTACATTTGCAGCCTGTGTTAACATTTGTTTTGCTGACCAAGCACAAATCTTCCAGCAATACTGTTTCTAAATATAAACCAGCATCTCTGTCTGATTCTCTCAAGCACACATCGCAGGATGATAGTTACCATAAATCTGCATTTCATTTCAGATGGATCATCACCGGAATAAGATGAAAAAAAGGTTTGCAAGGCTCCTTAGACAACTAAAGTACTGATTTATGCAGAAGATTTATTGTTAGGACAAGCTTTTCAAAGATCTAAACACTTCACCGGGCCCCGTCACCGGGTCAAGCAGCACCCGTGCCCTGTCACCGGTTCAAGCAGCACTTGGGCCCTGTCACCGGTTCAAGCAGCACTCGTGCCCTGTCACTGGGTCAAGCAGCACTCGCGCCCTGTCACCGGTTCAAGCAGCACTCGTGCCCTGTCACCGGTTCAAGCAGCACCCGTGCCCTGTCACCGGTTCAAGCAGCACCCGTGCCCTGTCACCGGTTCAAGCAGCACTCGTGCCCTGTCACCGGTTCAAGCAGCACTCGCGCCCTGTCACCGGTTCAAGCAGCACTTGCACCCTGTCACCGGTTCAAGCAGCACCCGTGCCCTGTCACCGGTTCAAGCAGCACCCGTGCCCTGTCACCGGTTCAAGCAGCACCGGTGCCCTGTCACCGGTTCAAGCAGCACCCGTGCCCTGTCACCGGTTCAAGCAGCACTTGCGCCCTGTCACTGGTTCAAGCAGCACTCGTGCCCTGTCACCGGTTCAAGCAGCACTTGCGCCCTGTCACCGGTTCAAGCAGCACTTGCGCCCTGTCACCGGTTCAAGCAGCACTCGTGCCCGGGTTGACCTAATGAAGATGATTTGTTTCTTGAAAGCTTATACAATTTTCACAAGTCTCAAACATGGATTTGGATTGCTTTAGTCCCTTCTCACCAGAACTGGTATGGTCATAAATCTAAAAGAATATTGCGCTATTCATTTTCTAACCAATAAGACAAGAAATAGTTTTCAACTAATCTAAATAGGTAGCAGTCTCTGAAAAAGCAAAGCAGCATAAAACAGAAGGCCTGTGGCTGCAATCTTTCTTCTGACCCCCCCCTCCCCCCCCCCCCCCCCTCCCTCTGTAAGGGAG